GCACATGTGTATATATATATATACATATATATATATATATATAGCGAGTATGAGAGCTGCCGCCCTCATAGACAGAAACGTCAGTGCCCTTTATCCATCCCCCTCTCCTCTTGGCGCATATTTAAAGTACAGCGGGAGCTGTAGCATCCAGCATGAATAGAAGCACCCTGTATGAATAGAAGTAATAAAATATATACTTTACAGAAAAACAAACACATGTATACTCCACTACACCAGTGTCAAATGTCAATTAAAATATATGTACACAAACATTAACATACTTAGTAAACTTAAAGCGGACCTTTACACTCAAAAATCTAAATTAATAATAACATAGACATGTCAGGTGTAGAATGCTGTGATTTTGTACTTACACTTGCAGAGCAGCCATTTCCTGCTTTGAAAGTGTAAATTACTTCAGTTTGCCAAAGCAATGCACACTGGGATTGTCTTGACATCAACAGAGCATTGCTCGGAAATATCTATAATCTCAGGAGATCTCAGGGAAAAGCATTTTCCTCCTCTGAGATGATGCGCATGGTCACATGTCCTAGTCACATGTCCTAGTCACATGTGCCAGAAATCCAGGAAGTAATAGGATAGCTAGTAATCTTCCCTTAGTAAACATTGCCACTGTCAAGACTGGGGAAGAAATGAGAAATAAGGTATGCAAAGAGTACAAAGGCTGCTAGAAGTATGTGTTTGTAGATTATTATTACTAAACATTTCTAAATGTTTGTGTGTTTGTTGTAATTTTAAAGCTATGGGTAAAGTTTCTCTTTAACACACGTGTCTAAATAGTGATTATACAAATAATCTTTAGCAATATGTGATCAAATATCATCACTATAATGAATGCTTCTTCTCCTGGCAGAACAATTACAAAGTGTCTATTCCAACGACACTGTTATTACTGTGTTCCAATTATCTTGATAAAAACAATCTCTCAAACATAGTGATAACAATAAGCCAGTCTCCAAAGCCGCAGCTCCAGCTTGACAAGAAGAAACACCGCTGACAGAAACGAGTGCTGACAATCTCGAAACTGTGCCCCCACTCGTCTTCTTGTGAGATCTGTGAACACACCTCTGCACAAATCGGATCACCTCAATTGCATGACAATAACTAAAATATTTTAGTATGGTCTGCGAGAGCTTCCCCGATCCAATGGAGTTAATAGATGACCTTCAGCATTGTTTAGCAATCTCTTAGAGTGTTGGAACTCAAATATAAAACAAGGAACAACACATAGTATAACCATTTTAAACTTTAATAAAAACATATGAAGAAAAACTACTCACAAACAATGTGCTAACAAAGCATCACATCAATCACTGCCACAAGTGGACCAAACAAACATTCAGGCCCCGTTCACACCAGGGCGGTTCGGCCACGTGGATTTGGCCGTGCTGAACCTCCGACATGAACTATCCAATACATTTCTATGGGGACCGTTCATGCAACTGCGCGATCTGAACCGCCTGCCACCCTGACACCTTTTGTCTGCAATGATCAGTGCAGTTTCCATATAGATTTCAATGGAATTGCGCTTATTAGTGCAGTTATGGGCATTTTTAATTGTGTTTCAGCGCTGAAACGCAATTAAAAGTGCCCCAAACCACCCTTTGAAAATTCGTGCGGAAACCACGCTCATCCGCAACCACCCTGGTGTGAATGGGGCCTTAGGCGCTTCCAACTGCTGGGCAACACGTATCACTTCTGGGTATGAAAATTGGCTCCACCCTACATGTTGCGCCGATCGGACTTCGTCAGGTGTATGGTGCCAATCAATGTGCAATGGCATTTTCTAGTTTCACCGCATCTCTTTATATTTGGTAACCTCCAAAATATAAAAAAAGAAAAATTTCCACAAATATCCCAACATAAACAGTATATAATCCTGCCAGAGCTGACTTTAGGTGGTTGTAATTATGAACTAGCAGCGTTTGCAACACCCCAAAAAATATATTTTAGATAAAACTATATATGTCAACATCAGTTAAAAAGTTTTAAAAAAATATAAAAACACTGAAAATTCCCTAAAATGTATACATTATAATCAAACAATTTAAGTCAAACTCCACCTTTTGTATCAAGAGAAATAAAATCTTTAATCGTATATTTCTTTCTTGTCTTTGTCACTATATATTCTTTTTTTTCATTTCATATTATTTGTTTCTTTGCATGGCAGACATTTCACACACCCACCACACTTTTCCTTCAAAAACAAGTCACTGTTTTAATTTTATTTGGTTGATCTAACACATTCTTAATTCATTTTTAGATACAAATTGAGGTCTTTCAGGCAGAATACAATTTAGCTGTGGGTCACTCCTATCCTTCTTATTCTCTACTCGTTATACTCCTATCATACAATACTTTTCATCACATTTTCTATATTTTCCTCTTCAAAACCTTTTTCCAAAAATCTGGATTTCGATATATATTCATTTTATTTTCAACAATTCCTTTTCATATGAATAAGTTGATTTTTACGTACCACTTGCAAACATTTAGGGTGGTGGCAGCTTGATATCAGAAAATATATCCATTGCGGTCTGTATTTTTAAAATAAGACCTGGTATAAAAAGCTATTCTCTTTATGAAACGCAAAATCTAAAAATTGTACCCTCTCCATCTGCGCATTACAGGAAAGAACTATATTCTGATCATTTCTATTTAACAGATGTAAAAAATTATCTTATTTCATTTTGCCCCCCTTCCAAATCATTATAATATTGTCTATGTATCATTTATATAGTATTAATTTGACTTATTGCCAAAAATGTTTCATGTTCCCATTTGGACAGAAAAAATGAGCAATACTGGGAGCAAATTTAGCTCCCATGCCTGTATTTTGTTGATAACATTGTTTCCTATACCAGAAATAACTGTGTTGTAGGCAGAATTTTAGTGATCTAACTAAAAAGTTATTTTGTTCCATACTACATTCCTTATCTTTTAGTAAAGCCCATTCTGCCACTTTCGGGGCTGCTTCATGTTGAACTGGTATAATTTCCTTGGTGGCAACAACCCCCTCCAAAAATTGTAACAAATGCTTACTATATTTTACATGTGTGTCCATGGACTGTGCCAATGGCTGCAGAACAAAATCTCTATAGTCACCTAATCTCGCTGTCAAGGAATCTATTTAATTCAGAATGGGTCTCCCAGTTGGGTTAACCCTATTTTTGTGCATCTTAGGCAAGTAATAAATAATCTGACTTTTGTAACACATGGTATGCTTCCTCTTTTTGATTTAATCCCCCTAACCTGTATCCTTTCTTTACTAAAACCTTCAAATCTTTTTTAATCTGTTAACAACGTTAAAGGCCATCTATCAACCCCATTGGATGGGGGAAGGTCTCGCAGACCATACTAGAATATTTTAGTTATTGCCATGCAATTAAGGTGAGCATATTTGTGTGGAAGTGTGTTCACAGTTCTCACAAGAAGACAAGCAGGGACACGGCTTCAAGATTGTCGGCACACGTTTCTGTCAGCGGTGTTGCTTCTTGTCAAGCCAGAGCTGAGGCTTTAGGGCTAGTTCGCACCAGCCCCAGTGCGTTCTGGCCCAATTGGTGCCGAAAGGCACTGGATCGCATTCCGCCGGCTCACTTTGGTTTGCGGCGGGAGGGGGCGTGGCGGTTTGGACACTTATTAATTGGTTGGAATAGACACTTTGTAATTGTTCTGCCGCGAGAATAAGCATTCATTATAGTGGTGACATTTGATCAAATCTTTCTACAGATTATTTGTGTAATCACTATTTAGACACAAGTGTGTTAAAGCGGACCTTTATGGACCTTTACCCATATCTTTAAAATAACAACGAACTCACCTGAGTGTGTTAAGTTTACTTAGTTTGTTATTTGTGTACATATTTTTTCTTGCAATTGACACTGGTGTAAGGGAGCATAAGTGTGTTTGTTTTTCTCCTAAAGCACTACACTGGTATACTGTATATTTTACTATTTTCCAGTGTGTAATCCACATTTGGGTTGGCTGCTTGTTTTAGGATAGTATATGTTTTTAGATTGACACATAGCGTGGAAAACATTAGCAATATATCAATAGAACTATACATTTTAAAGCCTATCTCCAGGAGAAAAAACAAGCTACGCTTGCAGTGGCACTACTCCCACACTGCAAGAGCTAACTGCTCATTTTTGTCTTGGGGTAATGTTCCTACTCCCTTGGCAGTCACCGCTCTCCTCCTCCCTCCTACACTCTGGCTTGTGGACTGTCTTTTGGCATCCTGATGTATAATGCAGGGTTATAGGCTCTGCATTAAATGTGATGACGTACCTCCAACTGTCGGACCACAGGGGTAGACGAGGTTGTAGGCATCAATCTTGAAGCCTGCAGGAGCAGGGATCAGGTTGGAAAAAGTCCTTTACACATCCCCTAGACAAAAATAAGCAGTTAACCCTTGCAAGGTTGGTAAGGCCCCACTGAGACACCTGAGCAAAGGTAACCTTTTACATGCCAGAAATGCCAAAAAGCAGAGTGCATGGAGTTCTGCTTTAACATTTATGGAAATTAATGTGGACGCAAATTATAGGATAAAGTAAAAGTGTGTTGTTCAAATAAGATAAAGAGAGAAACCTTTTCTTTTTGTGCACACAGGTAATGTATTTTGTTACAGATCATACAAACTGCATGGGTATGTCTGTTGGCTGGAAGTCTATTATATACCAGACATAGATGTTCTCTAGTAAAGCCCCACGTGTGTTATCAGTTTTCTGCAAAGTAACCATTGCTATCAAATGAAAATATGTTCATATATGAAGACAGAAGTACTAGGGAGGAGATGAGGGATGCTGTATAAATAGTGGATTTAAATACAATCAATGAGTACATTTTGCATGGACCTATTGACACGTTTTCTGTAGTGAAATGAAAATGTATATGACTAAATATGATGAGTGCATATTGTACAGTGTTACCCCCACACCTTCTTCTCATCCCCCTCCTGTAGCAGTTGTAAGTGGCTCCTCTTCTCCTTCTCTGGGATGCCTGCAGAAGGGCTGTGCAGGTACGGTGTTCCCCCTGGAGGGGAGACGCTATGCCCCTGTGGGTCAACCCAGGTGTAAATGTGACTTGAAACATGTCCAGCAGGAACCCGGCCTGAGGAGAGCACAGACAGTGCCAACTTCTGAGAGCCCCGCAAAGCCTGGAAGACAGATGTGCAATGACAAATGTTTAGCTTACATACTATTTCGTGTTTTTATACATGGAAGAGAAATAAAATTAATTGTTTAAGTGACTTTTTATCACAGAATGGCGTAAGCATAAAAATATCCACTTAAACATAAAGAGAAGGTAATTTATTGCCTGCAGAAAGTTTTTCTTTCCATTGATCCACTTCTCAGCTTAAAGTAGAACTATGGCCTGGCTGTGAACATTTATATACTTACATATTCTTAACAAGCAGTGAATAAGCTTTAAAACAAATGCTCACTGACCACTGTAGGTGCAGGAACTAAGAAGCAATTCTTCCTCAAAGTTTACAACATATGAAGCCCTACTCTGTGTGAAACTAAAACAATTTTGGCTATACATACACTTTGAAGTGTATCCATACCCAGTAACTAAAATCTCATATAAGCTTAAACATGTTGATATAATTCCAAAAGGTATTTTAAACCTGTTAAATATGTAGCTTCCATTAAAAGACTATCTGATGATCATACAGGCCCTTGTTCAGACACTTCCTGTTATTCGGTGGTAACCCTTCCAGTTGTGCTCCTGCCTTGTCCTCCTGACACAAGCTTTCCTGATGGAGGCTTCAAGCTTCTAGTTCCGTTTTGCCTAGGGCAGCCCCAAACCAGAATACACCACTGTAGGGTTAATACCTTCACCACCATATCACTTTGAAGTTATACAGGCAAGATTTTGTTTTGTGTTCCAGATCAATAAAAATATTAATAAGACTCTAGTGTGTTTTCATTCTTACTCATCACTAACTTACTGTGAAAGAATTAGCAAGCAATTTTGAAATGTCAGGGTGAGAGCATAAACATTTTTATGAATATATATGTAATTGTACTGCCAGCATAAAAGAGATTGGCAAGATATTATTGGTTTAAGGTCCTTGTTTACATCATTTGAGAAACTCACCAGGGTGTCCTTCAATGCAGTGCATACACCTGATGCATATGTGTGCCCGCTATACCTGTCATTATTCAGCATGACAAAGCGCTTAACCCCAGGAATCCCATTCTGTTCCATGGCCCCTGTTCACACCTTTTGCATTTTGTCGCAAGCAGAAAAACGCCTGTCGTGTCAAATGAATGTGCCAAAATCTGCTCGCAAAAACGTGCGACTTAACATACATGGATAAAAAGATGCGTGTAAAATGTGCTTAATAGGTGTCACTTAAGTGTGAATGCAGCCTTAGGCCTGGTTCACACCTAGGAATTTTTGAGCAAGAAATCCCATGATTTTCAATGGCCACCGTTCACACCTGAGCAGCAAAACGCCAGCAGGAAAATGCCAAAAGCCCGAAAAAGTACATGAGCTTATTTGGGTAGGTAACAGCGCATTTTTGCCCATAGACTTCAGTGGCAATGCCCCAAAACACGCGGCAGAAGCATGTTGCACATTTACGTCTGTGTTTTTAGGCGTTTGCACGCGTGTTCGTTCATTGCCCGCAATGTTTCATAAGCTGCTAGTGAAAACGCCTGTCTTCATGTACGCGTACACAAACGCGCATCAAAATATGCACAACGTGAATAAATATGCAAATATCCGCACGCTGAACATGTGCATAAATGATGGTGCCTAGGTGTGAACCCGCCCAGCCTTAAGGTTCCTATCTCAGAGGTGTGCATTTTTGTCTGATTCCGATGATCAGCCAGTGTACCAGTAAACCCCATTGCCTTGTCGATAATTCATTGATGTGAGAACCTCTGCTTGAGATACATGAGATACATTCCCAAGCACACCCATCGTAGACTCCTTTCTATCTCTCACGTGATCAAAACATGATATAAGAAGACATCAGTATTAAGTTAATTTCTCACAGTCTGGTGCACACCTGCTTTTCAAATGTAAATGTGATTGGACATGCAGAAGCCAGAGAAAAAAAAGAAGTTATACAGCATGTTTCCAAAAGTTTACTCCCACTGAACCCTGCAAGGTGCTCCCTGGATTATTCTTGAAGTGGACTACAGAGAACCTTTATTGTACATTTTGTGAACATTGTGGTATTTTTTGGAAAATCAGCCTTGTTTCCTAAATATCATTATAGGCTTACTGACTGGCTTTACCTGTTGCCTAGAGTTGCTTTTTAATTAATATTATGGTGAAAAGGCCAATAAACTATATAACCCATTGTAAGGTAACATAAATTAGCTTAGCACTGATGGCTAATTTGTGATTAATATTAAAATGGTTTATCACTTTTTAAACTAGGTAATTAAAGTGTGTGTATAGGCCACAGGAGGTGAGATTAAATCATCCAATGGGATAGATATCCTTAGCATATACAATTTCAGCTCCAGTAGAAATCATCTTACTATTATACCATGGAAGGCATTAAACTGCTCTGGTACTGTTGTAACATTTACATTTCTGATAGTACATAATGTAAGGAGCAGCAGAGGGCTGTGCTGTGCGAGACACATACTGTATATACAGCCTAGAACATAAAGGTTTCCACAGAAAAAGCAGGATTGTATCATATTTGGGTCAACATCTTAGTCCAGGATGTAGATATGCTGATTCTGGATGATGCCTAAACAAAGATGTCCAGTAAAAAAGCAGTACGGGTACCACATCAATGGTGATAGAGACCAGAGTGATTTGTTATTGAATAATCAATAGGACTAGAATAGAATGATCTTATTTTAACAAATATTCAATAAAAAAAGAATCACTCTGAATTACAATTTGTGTGGTGCCCTTACTGCTTTCTACTTGACTTCCCTCTGGAGTTCTTTTTATTTTGGGGTTCTTTGTTAAAAGGGAATAGCCTCACCAAAGCAATTTAGCTTAATTAATAAGACGGTCATTCACAATATTGGACATCAATGACAGGAGATCTAGCTTCACTTATTCATGTACCCCTAAACAAAGATGGTGTCAGGCTTCAAAGGAAAGAGGAACATAATATGGCAGGGGGAACACTGTGACTTATTTGAGAGGTAATAAATGCCCATATGCCTATATGTATAGTATAACATATTACTTAGGGGTCTATTCACTAAGCTGCCGTAGGCACCCGAGTGAATGACCGACCTGAAGTGAAGTGAGCCGAACACTGTGCGGCTATTTACTTCAGGCTGGTACGGCTGATTTCAGCCGATTCGGCTGTTCTGCTCGGTCCCTTAGCAGGTAACCAGGGACACTGATTTCTCTGCAAGTGGCCGGAGCCAGCCGTAAGACGCATTGGGGATCCGAGCATGCATCTGTGGTTGCTGGGCCTCCAGTGCGTCCCTGCACATTGTGAGGAGGAGTAGGCTACCTCCTGGTACACCTGCATTCAATTTATCAACTGCATCTACAGTATATGCTCCCACTAGGAGACTCATATAAATAGAGTTAGGACCACACTTAACAGAGGTGCCTTGAAGGTGGCAGTGTGGCTTCTACATATTTTTGGCCAAAGGTTTGTGCAACTAAAACCTCTGCTTTTAACGTATACTGTTAGACAAGGTATTTTGTTTTGTTGCAGGCCAGCTGGCAGGTGTTCTGGGGATAAGCCTTCCCATGTGCACCCTGCTACAAAGGCTTTTTATAAATGTATGTGGTTACCATATTTTTCTAGTTTGTTTCATCTGAGAGATTTTACTTCACTGTCAGAGAGGCACGCCAGGAAGTAAGAGGAAGAACGGGTTTGGTTAGTATAAGGTGATTAAGGAAGCCCTTTTCAGCGACACTGTAATCGTGCTTTGTATTGGCAAGGTGGTAGCATCTCTTTAAAGCAGCATTTCTGAAATTTAGGAACCCCTAAAATAATTTTCAGGTCTTGTGGAACCATTACTTACACCAAATCATCAGGAGTCAATGGCAAAAATGTGTGATAAAGCCACACACCACTTCCTTAAAACTGTTAGACACTCCACCCAGCTGCCTCTCTTTAACAAATCACTCTACCACCTGCTACTTGTATAGTCCCAGCCTTATAACATACAGGTGAAACTCGAATAATTAGAATATCGTGCAAAGTTCATTTATTTCACTAATGCAACTTAAAGGAGAACTGTGGGGTCAGTGTTTTTCCCCATAGTTCTCCTTGGGGTAACGGGAGGACAGAAACTAGTGTCCTCCCGTTACCCTAAGCTCAGTATACCGCGAGCTACAGCTCGCGGTATACTGAGACGCCGCACCTGCAGCGGATCCCGACTTAGATGACGGGATACGCCCAGCTGCGTGAGTGACAGCTGGCTCTGCCTATCTAGAGGCAGAGCCAGCTGTACCCGCCCCCTCCCCCGTCCGTTCCGCCAGTCAGCGCTGGCAGATGGGAGCGGGGAGAGGGGAATCCAGCCCCTCCCCCTGTCACGGCAGAGAGCCGTGACAGGATCGAGAGGTGAGGGAACACGGTATGTGTTCTCTCACCTCCCGATCTACTGAGCCAACCTGTGACAGTCTCATTGTCACAGGTCGGCTTAGAACTATGAGGTGAGTGGAAATCACTCATGTCATAGTTCTCCTTTAAAAGGTGAAACTAATATATGAGATAGACTCATTACATGCAAAGCAAGATAATTCAAGCCGTGATTTGTCATAATTGTGATGATTATGGCTTACAGCTCATGAAAACCCCAAGAACCCCAAATCCACAACCTCAAAAAAGTAGATTACATGCAATCAATAAAACAAGGATTGTACATAGAACAATATCGGACCTCTGAAAAGTACAAGCATGCATATGTACTCAGTACTTGGTTTGGGCCCCTTTTGCAGAACTTACTGCAATTACTTTTGCACGATATTCTAATTATTCGAGTTTCACCTGTATAAGTTACAATTTATAATCTATAATGGCTGACACTCTCTTGAGGAATAAAAAAAAGGAGGAACATGAAAAAGAAAGGAGTAAGGGGTAGAAGGTAGGGAATTCAGGGAGGAAGTGGAGGTATATATATCTCAAAGAGAAACATTTCAGGACTAAAGGTTACACATAGAGGCCTATTAATAAAGAAGTCCTGAAAAAGGGTTCACCTCATA